TTTTTAAAATGGACTAACTATAACTATAACTATGACTAACAATTGAAAAACAGACTGAACTATGAACAAAAATTAATACTAAAAAACAGATTTCTTCTCTGACTAGAGTCGTTGAGGAGATATGTCTCGCTCCGTCTGTGACCTGGCGCAGCGTAGAAGGAACTGGAGGGAGCTGGACTGCGCGAGAGATCAAAAGGGTATGAATGGCGCGAAACATGTGCCACGCATGTGTGGTCCAGCCAACTGCTGCTAATGAAAACTCCAATCTGTGGTGCCAGGATGACCTGACACCAACAGAGGAGCACCCATGGGTATACTACTCAGAGAAGAACACCCGTCGGTTTCCCCCCAGCTCTTAGTTTAAAAAATACTCTACAACCCTTTTAATGTTAAGTGCCAGCAGCCTGGTTCCATTTTGATTTTTGTAGAGCCATCCCTCCTGTATAGGCTCCCCCATCCCAAAAGTTTTCCCAGTTCCTAATGAATCTAAACCCCTCGTCTCTACACCATCACCTCATCCACACATTGAGACTCTGAAGCTCTGCCTGCCTACCTGGTCCTGCGTTGTTTGAAGCCAGGCCTCCAAGCATCTCATGTGGAATTTGGCATGCTTGACAACAAACATTTTTACCAACTTGTGCTCCAAGATTTGTAAACACATTCCGACAGTTGCCTGAATGCTGTTCCTCACCACTAAAATTAGATTGATTGGGGGTAAAGAAGATTAATTGGCAGAACCATCTTTGCCAATGAGGATGCTTGGAGTATGCCTATGAACCAAAGTTGAACTTCTAGTAGCTGTTCTAGTGAAATGTCAAGGGACTCAGCTGCCCTTTTGAAGAGACCCTGAAAGGATACCCCAGTAGTGGGGGGAGGGGGAGGTGGCATTATGGTTTTGACCAAAGATGAAGAGGTGAGTAAATGGTGAAATGTAATGTTCAGCTGTGCCCTCAGGTTCCTCAGTTGTCTTCCTCCTGTGTTTCTGAGAGTGTTGGGAGAGTTGGTGAAGGGGACTGGGCTGATCTGGACCTAGGTGGTCTCAGGGGCTTGCAGTTTTGTACCCTAGACATTGTTCACGGATCCCAGTATGACTGGCTAGACGGGAATGGTATGCAGAGGTGGTGCCCAAGGTGACTATACTATCCTCATATATCAGCAGGTGGTTGGTGACGAGACGGTCCTGACTTGTGTGAACAATAGCAAAAAGTATACATTACTACATGATGCTCTTCTTCCTCATCATTGCAGATGGAGGGCTGACATGCAGGGAGTAGTCAGTTGTCTTGGTACTGATCTTGATGTGATACCCTCAGTGCCGAGTAGAAGAGATTCAGGCATTGAGACCACCACCAGGTCTTAAAACCTCAAGAAATTCTGCAGAACCCTGAGACTCAGCAATAGAAATGTTTGGCATAAGTACAGCAGGTGGCACCATTGTACTGCTCATTGCCAAGATGTTCTTTGGCTCCATGGGTGCTGACATAGAAGGTTTCACTTTGCTGTGTGAAACTCCATTTCAGCCTGCCTGCTGTAGCTCTTTAGCTCTTCGGGAACTCTCGATATATGACATTCCTGGTGCTTCACAGGTCAGCACTCCCAGTGTTATCGGAAAGGGGCAGATTTTTCAGTTGGAGATGGACTTCTTTTAGTAATTCTTGTTGTGAGGAGTCTGCAACCACTTTTTCATAGCCTTTCTAGAAATACACTTAGAGCAGAGCCCCCGTCAGAGGCTGCTGTTGGTGGCCAGGAGGTGACCTAGCCTTAGGGTCAGAGGCTGGCTTGAGGGATTTTTCCATCATGAGGAGCTTAATTTAGAAAAGCCTGGTTTTTCTTATCTTAGCTGTCAGTTTTCTGCAATGTGGGCAGTTTTGAGTAATGTGTATCTTACTGAATTAATGGACTTACATCATGACTGTCAGAGACTGGTATGATGAGTCTGCAAGTCAGGTAATGTTCAAAGTCAGGTGAGCCAGACATGCCTGAGAAAGTATGTCTCTCAGGATGCATCTACACAGCACCCTTACCTCGAAATAAGCTATGCAATAAGCTATGAAATAAGTCTACACCGCGCCACATTTTGAAATAAAGCGCTATTCTGAAACATCCCTTATCCCTCGTACAATGAAGTTTACAGGGACGTCGGAATAGTGAGCCTGTTATATTTTGATATAACAGGCTTGCTTTTAAGATGCAGAATAGCTATTTTGGGGAACCAGAGGTATCCCGAAATAGCTCCACAGTGTAGTTTCAGAGAATTAAACAAGCGTAAATCCTGTTTGAGGCCAAGGCTGTATGCCTGCCAGAGAGGCAGAGGTAGACGTGGAAAATAAAGGATTTTTTATTTTATGTTAAACACTATTGAGTAAGGCAAGGGGAGAGGAAACTAACTACAATTAAGTGAACACTAGCACTAGCACTGTTACTGCATTGCCTTTGGCCATTTTTTTTGAAAACTCGTGGAGATCGGGAGAGATCCTAGATGATTGGAAAAAGGCAAATGTAGTGCCCATCTTTAAAAAAGGAAAGAAGGACAATCAAGGAAACTACTGACCAGTCAGTCTTATCTCAGTCCCTGGAAAAATCATGGAGGGGATCCTCAAAGAATCCATTTTGAAGCACTTGGAAGAGGGGAAAGTGATCAGGAATAGTCATGAAGGGCAAGTCATGCCTGACCAATCTGATTAGCTTCTATGATGAAGTAAATGGCTCTGTGGATATGGGAAAGTCAGTGGATGTGATATACCTTGATACGATCTCCCACAATATTCTTGCCAGAATGTTAAGGGAGTATGGATTGGATAAATGGACTGTAAGATGGATAGAAAGCTGGCTGGAATGTCGGGCCCAATGGCTCGATGTCAGGCTGGTGGTTGATTTCTAGCAGAGTGCCCCAAGGATCAGTTCTAGGGCCGATTTTGTTCAACATCTTTATTAATGACCTGGATGAGGGGAGGGATTGCACCCTTGGCAAGTTTGCAGATGACACTAAGATAAGTGTTAGATATGCTGGAGGGTCCACAGTGACCTAGACAGATTAGAGGATTGAGCCAAAAGAAATCTGATGAGGTTCAACAAGGACAAGTACAGAGTCCTGCACTTGGGACGGAAGAATCCCAAGCATTGTTACAGGCTGGGGACAGAATAGCTAAATAACAGTTCTGCAGAAAAGGACCTGGGGATTACAGTGGATGAGAAGCTAGATATGAGTCAACAGTGTGCCCTTGTAGCCAAGAAGGCTAATGGCATATTAGGTTGGATTAGCAGATCTAGAGAAGTGATTATTCCAGTTCTGGGCCCCCCACTATAGAAAGGATGTGGAAGCATTGGAGTGGGTCAAGCGGAGGATGACCAAAATGATTAGGGGGCTGGAGCGCATGACCTATGGGGAGAGACCGAGAGATTTAGGTTTATTTAGTTTGCAGAAGAGAAGAGTGAAGGGGGATTTGATAGCAGCCTTCAACTTCCTGAAGGGAGGTTCCAAAGGGGATGGAGAGAGGCTGTTCACAGTAGTGATGGATGGCAGAAAAAGGTGCAATGGTCTCAAGTTACAATGGGGAGATCTCTTGGATATTAGGAAAAACTATTTTACTAGGAGGGTGATGAAGTCCTGGAATGGGTTACTTAGGGAGGTGGTGGAATCTCCATCACTAGAGGTTTTTAAGTCTCAGCTAGACAAAGCCCTGGCTTGGTTGATTTAGTTGGGATTGGTCCTACTGTGGGCAGTAGGCTGGACCTGATGTCCTCGTGAGGTCTCTTCCAGCTCTATGATTGTACTATAAACTATCTTCTGTAAGGCTTATCTGAGGAAAGAGAGGGTGCTCCTGACTGTTTCAACTGAAGCCAAAGGCAGTAGAAAAGGCACTGGGGTAGGGGGTGGGGAGAAGGTGGCTGGCTGCATGCCACTATGTAACCACTTGGAACGGTGCGAGAGGGCTACAGTCATCAAATTTGTTTTTGTTTTTAACCTGTCTAATGAAAACAGGTTTACTACAAATAGAAGGAAATACTTTTTCATACAACATACAACTAATCTGAGGAATTCATTGCTGTGGGGTATTGTGATGGGTTTAAAAAAGAACTAGATAAGTTCATCAATAGCTATTAGCCAGGATGGTTTGGGATTGAACCTCATCCCTGGGGGGACTCTAAACCTCTGACTAATATAAAGTGGAAAGAGAAGACAAAATTGCCCTCTTCTGTACATTCCTCCATGATTCCTCCATGAAGCTTTGTAACTGGCCATTGACTAAAACGATCACTGAGCTGACCCAAAATGGCAGTTTTTATATAACACAGTGAGAAATCATGAATTTTCCCTTATTCAAAATGGCAAACAGTTCTATTACTGTCAGTAGGACTGAAGGCAGCAAGGTGGCTCCTATTTCTCTACAGCCTTTCTGCATGTGCAAGTGACACTGCTCTCAGTAAAGTTGTCCACTACCTCTTCTCTTTTCAGTGAGACTGATCCATGCTGGAGCAGGCTTCCCTCAGGGGCTAGGAGGCAAGTGGTCAGAAAACAGCCAGTTTCTCTGAGCCTAAAGAGAGCTTTTTAACAGCAGAAGTCCAGGGTCAAGGTGGACAGGTCACTGTCCATCATTTTCCTCCATCCCCCCAGAGACCTCTGAGTCTCTCATACAGCTGAGGGAGAAGAGAAGGGTAAGGGAACATTTTTGTCTAAAACCCTCTTCGGTGATGCATTCTGCTTCACCCTGTTCAATTAAATTCAGAAAGCAGAAGTTGACGTAAAGTTCTTTACTATGTACATCTGTAACTCATGAACCCTAAAAAGTAGTAAGTTCTCTGTGTAAGCGTGAATGATGATGCATTAAATAGATCAACGGTTTTCAAACTATTTATCACCCAGCCTTCTTTTGTCAAAGGAAATAAATTAGGAGGGGAGGAAGTCAAGACAGTAATAGGGAATGGATGGTAGGGCTTGAAGTTGGCAATACTGAATATCTAGTCTTTAAAAATATGATACTACTGCTTACTATTATTACCTCTTTATTTTTGTTACTTTCATTTTCATGTACACTTTCGCTTTCAGTTTCTGTTTCTGTATTGGTCTGAGAGGAGTCTCCCAGTTCCTGAAAGAGAGCTTCCATGTCAATCTGGTCTTCCTCAGGTTCCTCATCAAATTCAAGTCCAACTCTCTTTTCAGTTTTGGACATGATTATTTCCTGTAGATGTTCTTCAAACTGAATATGGAAAATTCCTAATTTGTCAGCTAGCCATCGGCCACAGATAGTTTTACCTGCTCCATGTGCACCCAGCAGGCATACTCTTAATGGAGGAGCCTGTCGGAAAGAATTAACAATACTTTTATAACAATTTTTGTTTTAGGGTGCACTTAAGTTACAGTTGTAGGCACCCTTGTTGAAATATTTATACATTTCAGGGTCTGTAATATAAAAATACCCTTAATAGCAGCATGAGCACATAGGTATTTTGTGTTTCAATGTTTAAAACTACAATGAATCACATAGGGTACGTCTACACTACAGCGTTATTTCAAAATATCTTAATTCAAAATAGTTAATTCGAAATAAGATATTTTGAAATAACGTGTCTACACACAAAATGCAGTTCGAAATAGCGTTTTGCTACTTTGAAATACCGCGTCCACACTGAGTGGACACTGATTCGCATTTAAGGCCATCTGGAACTAGGTCAGGAGGCAAGACATCAGGTCAGGACTTACTGTGTGGGGCTGCTGCCTGAGGCTATCTGAGGCCTGTGCTTAAAGGGACACACCCCAACCCCCCGAGCAGCCGGTTCTCAGGTGTCCCTGCTTGCTTGTGTACCTCGGTGAGGAACAGCAAAGCATTTGTGTCTCTGAGTGCTCTGGTTGCCCTCACTCGGAACACCACAGCAATCTGCTACAAGGAGCCAGAGCTGCCCCTGGGCACTCTGGTGCTTCTCATAGATGCGTTGCTACCAGCCTGGCTGCACTTTCTGCAGGCTGCCATCTGGTAGGTCCATCAGGGGGCTGTCAGCATCCAGGAGGCCCTGCAGGAGAGCTTCCACCCTGAGGAGCACCAAGAGCCTCCCTGGTCCGCCCCACTGGGGGCTTGTGCCTCATTCCTCCCTCACATCTTTCCACTTACCCACCCTCGCCCAACCCCCCTTCCCGATGTCAAATAAAAACACATTTTTCATAAATACAAACTCTCTTTATTTAACAAAACTGGGGGGGGGGAATGAAACTCTGGGGAGACTGGGGAAAGGGAAGGAGAGAGGGTGGAAGAGGGGAGGGGGAAACCTGGAAGGAGGGAGCTGGAAGGGGGAAGCAAGGGGAAGAAAGGGGAGGGGAAGCTCAGGTCTCAGGGTGGAGGGGGGTCTCACTGGACCACAGTGTGTGCGGGGGCCTCGGCATCCCCGGAGGGGATGGAGGGAGAAGCGGGAAGGGGAGAAGGAGTGGGAGGGGCGGGGAGGGGGAAACCTGGAAGGAGGGAGCTGGAAGGGGGAAGCAAGGGGAAGAAAGGGGAGGGGAAGCTCAGGTCTCAGGGTGGAGGGGGGTCTCACTGGACCAACTGTCTCCCAGCACAGTGTGTGCGGGGGCCTCGGCATCCCCAGAGGGGATGGGGAGGAGGGGATGGAGGGAGAAGCGGGAAGGGGAGAAGGAGTGGGAGGAGCGGTAACTGGGGAGACAGCAGGTGCTGGAGTGGCAGGAGGCAGCATGCTCTGCACCAGGGTCTGCAGGTGTTGGCAGATGGCATGAGCCTGGGCAAGCAGCTCCCGCCAGAACTTCCGATCTTCTTGCACCCAGTGCTCCATGGTGCGGTGTAGGGCTCGCAGGGCCCCCAGGTGCTGCTGTTGGTACCCCTGCAGTGTTTGGGTGGTCCGGAGACAGCAGGTGCTGGAGTGGCAGGAGGCAGCATGCTCTGCACCAGGGTCTGCAGGTGTTGGCAGATGGCATGAGCCTGGGCAAGCAGCTCCCGCCAGAACTTCCGATCTTCTTGCACCCAGTGCTCCATGGTGCGGTGTAGGGCTCGCAGGGCCCCCAGGTGCTGCTGTTGGTACCCCTGCAGTGTTTGGGTGGTCCTGCAGAGCTCTTGCATGCGGGAGCATGTCCTGGGCGGGGTAGTGCGCCCTGCACATGCAGCTGGTGCGGCTGTAGAGAAACAAGAGAAGTGGTCAGTTCTCCCTGGGGACACAGTGGGTGAAGCCCAGCCCTCCTCTGCAAGGGAAGGATGACCGTTCCCCTGTACCATCAGAGCCAATGTGCTTGCACACAGGCCATGTTCGGGATGTCCTGCTATCCCCAGGAGTGGGAGCTACCCCAAGACTGCACCCATGGGAGGGAGATGTCCCCTGCCTCTGTGTAGAGCGGGCTTGTGAAAGGAGGGCATCCTGCTGTGTCCCGTCCCAGGGTCAGGAGCATGTCATGTCTCTTCACATACGCGTGTGGCTATCAGGCCAAGGCCCCTGTGTGGCAGCCAGCTGGAGCCACCTACCCAGGGTGGCACGGCACATGCTAGCACATGCACAGGTTGCTGCGTGATCCGTGGTAAGCAAGGCCCATGTGCACGGTCCCTGGTCTCCCTCCCTACCCCCTCTCCCAGTAAGGGGACAGTAATGGCACTCACATGTTGTGGCCTACCTGCACGACCCTGGTGACTCTGCTGCTGGGATGCCTCAGGGGTCCTGGTGGCGTGGCACCCTCCGTCTCAGCTCCTGCGGCTCTTCCTCCATGCCCTAGTCAGGGCCCTTTGTTCCCGGATTGTTGCCCCCTGGGGTAGCACAGACTGCCCTGCCCCCCATTATGTGGTCCAGGGCATCAAAATGGGGATAGGTGTCTGCCCCTGTTGGGGAGCTACCTTGTGTGGCCCTTGCATATGCCTGCCAGAGCTCTTTAATTTTCATGCGCACCTGCTCCTGGGTGTGATTATGGCCTTTGGTGACATCTATGCGGCTGTACACGGCTGTGTTCCTCCATCTAGTGCGGAGATCATGCACATTGGAGGCCTCGCCCCAAACCTCTATGAGGTCTGCACTAGTCCAGGAGGGCGCCCGCTATCTTCGGCCCCTGGATGGCTCCTGGGAGCTGGGGGACTGGGTGGTGGACAGCTGGCTGGCACTGACTGCCCAGCTCATTCTGCGGCCACTGGGTCAGGGGCAGCGACTGCTGGCAGGCCTGGATCTGGCACGTGCAGTGTGGCCAGAGTCCACCCCTTTAAGGGCTCTGGGGCTGGAGGAGAGGAGATGAGTTTTCCTGGTTTGGCCCAGAGTGGCTAATGGGGAAATTGGGAAGGGCTGGAGGCCCCCTATTTCGAAATAAGCGTCTACACAGCGCTTATTTTGATTTAGCTATTTCGAATTTGGCATTATTCCTTGCACAAATCTGAAATAAGTGCTCTGCTATTTTGAATTTGTGAGCAAGACACGAGAAGTCATTCTTCCGCTCTACTCTGTGCTGATCAGGCCTCAGTTGGAGTATTGTGTCCAGTTCTGGGCACCACAGTACAAGAAAGATGTGACGAAATTGGAGACAGGCCAGAGAAGAACAACAAGAACGATGACCGGGCTAGAGAACATGAGCAATGAGGGAAGACTGAAGGAATTGGGTTTGTTTAGTTTGGAAAGGAGAAGACTGAGGGGGGGACATGAGAGCTGTTTTCATGTATCTAAAAGGGTGTCCCGAGGAGGGAGCAAATTGTTCTCCTCGGCCTCTGAGGATAGGACAAGCAGCAATGGGCTCAAACTGCAGCAGGGGAGGTTTAGGTTGGACATTAGGAAAAAGTTCCTGCCTGTCACGGTGGTGAAACATGAATTAATTGCCTAGGGATGTCGTGGAATTGCCCGCTCTGGAGCTACTTAAGGGCAGGCTGGACAGACACCTCTCAGGGACGGGCTAGATCAGTGTTTCTTAACCTGTGTTCTGTGGCACACCGGTGTGCTGGGAGGAAGTCAGCAGTATGCCACAGAGACCAACAGAATTCAAAATGGCCACCCTTAAAGGGGCAGGCAACTTTTTTTTTTGCTCAATAACTTTCCTCCAAACCTTTTTTTCCTCCCAATCTTTTCTTTTCCCCCTCAACAGATCCTTGGTGTTCCTCATAAAATTTTTAAGACCGAGGAACATCAAACAATTTTTTTTTAAAGAAAGACTGGTCTAGATGGTGCTTGGTCCTGCCATGAGGGGACTGGCCTTGGTGACCACTAGTATTCTGTGGTTCTATGATACACAACTGAAGGGTTTTTCTTTCAGCACCAGGAGTTAGCATGTGGCCATATCTCCACCCGAGCATAGCCAGAATGACCCAACCCAGCCCCCTCCACTTTGTCCAGGGTCCCTGGGTGCCTCTGTGCTCAGATGTGGGTTTTCCACAGCCAAGGGCCAGAGGTGTTGCCTAGGTTCTGCGTGTAGCCGGTCTCCCTACCTGTGGGGCAGGGGCAGGGGGGCTCTAGTCACTGGCACTGCTTGGCTCAGTATTGGACAGCAAAAGGGTGGGTGGTGGGGGTTTCGTCTCAGCCTCACTGTTACAGTAGCCCCAGCGGGGCCCGTGCTGTGCTGGAACCAGGCTGGGGCCACGCATACTGAAGTGAAGCTCTTACCCCGCTGGCTTTTGCAGGCTTCCCAAGGGCAGCTGGGCCCATTGACCTGGGTAGCAGGCAGGCCCCAAACTCCCCCCACACAGCAGCAGGGTAAGTTAACAGCAGTGCACCACAATAGATAAAAACTAATAGATGAACTTCTTTTCATTCTGGCCCTTTCACTCTTTTTATTCTTCTTATTTTAATCTCCAACTCACTCCCATCCTCCTTCGACCTCTATTTCACTTATGAGAAGTGAGTTAGTAACAATAATTAATAAGCGAAAAACCCCTATTTTAACAGACCATTGAACTATATATGTGTCTTACTGAGTCACCAAGTGATAGTATTGTAAATCTTTGCCCTATCCTTCCCTTTCCCCCTTTGTTCATGATCTTTACTTATTGTGCTGAGTCTACTTTTAGATTATAAACTCATTGGCTGTGTCTAGACTGGCCAGTTTTTCCGGAAAATCAGCAGCTTTTCCGGAAAAACTTGCCAGCTGTCTACACTAGCCACTTGAATTTCCGCAAAAGCACTGACTTCCTACTGTAAGAAATCAGTGCTTTTTGCGGAAATACTATGTTGCTCCCGTTCGGGCAAAAGTCCCTTTTGCGCAAAACTTTTGCGCAAAAGGGCCAGTGTAGACAGCTGAGATTTGTTTTGCGCAAAAGCGCGTCTAGATTGGCCACTGAGGCTTTTCCACAAAAAGTGCTTTTGCGGAAAAGTGTCCGTGCCAATCTAGACGCTCTTTTCCGAAAATGCTTTTAACGGAAAACTTTTCCGTTAAAAGCATTTCCAGAAAATCATGCCAGTCTAGACATAGCCATTGGGGGAAGGGCCATGTCTTCCTTGTTTCTATGAAGTATCCAGTACACTTATAGCAATACAGAAATACCAAAAACAAAAATAATTGTAATGAAGGATGGAAAATGATGGGTAATATCAATTTCTTATTAGCAATCTATTTTAAACAGTTTTAACATTTTCTTACTTGTAATGGTGCCTTGTGAGCCACATACTCCTCTGGGCTCTCCAAAAACTTATCTCTAGCTTCAGGACTTGAAAAGTAGTAAAATTTCTCTCGATATTTAGCTCCATGTTCAGATATTCCTGGGAAAAGGATAAAGTTTTCCTTCAGACTCACTGGACAAAAGTGTTTGGTGTCTCCCATGTGTCTCTTCTTTTCATTAATTTTATCTTCATCCTGAAAATACACACACATTTTAGAGAAAATTGTCAAGAAGTCTTTGGATTAAGTAGAAAGATACTCTATATAAAATATTCTGTACACCTACATCCCATTTTAAGTGCATTACAGTATATTACTTTTAGGATATGTCTACATTGCAGCATTTTTCCAGAAAAACTACACTTACGTCCACACTGGTATTACGTCCTTTCAACAGAAAGTCGAAAGAACGGAGGGGTTTTCCAACAGCGGGAAACCTCTTTCTATGAGGAAGAAGCCTTTTTCCGAAAAAGCTTTTTTTGGAAAATGCATTTATGAATGTGGAAGAAAGTGTTTTTTTGAAAGAAGAGGCCTCCAGGAAAAAGCACAGGTGCCCTGGTGTCCTGTGGGTGCTATCAAAAAAGCAGGTCACTTTTTCATTGTGCTTTTGCTGTGTGGACGCTCTCTTTCTAGAAAAGCTTTTCTGAATGGTCTCTCCCAGAAAAGCGTCTTCTGAAAGAAGCCTGCAGACGGTCTAGGCATGGCCACAGAAACTTGGTGGAAGGAGGATAGTGAATGGGATGTGGATGAAGCAAAACCTCAGTTCTAAACACTCATTTGAAATCCAGATCCAATCCAAATGTTACATCTTTACACTCATTTCTAATGACAAATGTTTGAATACAGGATAATCTAATACTCATGGCTAAATTTACAAACTAGCTCCCAAACAATCTTCAAATTTGCATGTGCAAATTTTACATATGTACCGATCTGCAAATATATTTAAACTCAATTCAGTTAATTGCTTATCTACTTGTATATGTGGAATTATGAAATACTTAATTGTTGTATAACTTGTAATGTTTACATGTACAAATTTGTGAGGGCAAGGTAATGTTATGCTAGCGGATATTAATGAAGCAGGTCTTTGACCTATAGACAGCCAAAGTTAGTTAAATCTGATAGGTAAACTATGAACTCATCTTTCAGGCTAAATGGAAAGAAGGAACTGTTAAATACCCTTTAATGTGGTGATAGCTGGAAACATTAGGAGGCTACTGCCCACTGTGTCACATGGTAAAGCCTGAGCAGAGATAAATTGTGTGATCTCAGGGCTTTCCCTGGATAGTTGCAAATACAGTGGCTATGGTATTATTTTTGCATGATAAACTTGTGTCAAAGAAGGACTGCAGACAGTGGGAGCACAGCCTCAAGAAGGAGCTGAGACACAATGTTCCTTAGGGCAGTGGACTAATTGGAAAGGCAGGTCTAAAAATTGTAAGGAAACTTGATAGCTGTTGTTTCTACTGTGTTTAGGGAAACAAGACTTTCTTTGCAATTCTGTTTATTTACCGAGAATGTATAGAAATGCCTGACCTACACCCTCAATTTATTCTTCTAACTAAAACAAAAATGGCAAGGCTCTGAAAACTGGCTAACTTCTTAGGCCAAAAGGGACAACAAAAATAAACCACTTTAAATGTGACCCATAACGATATTGACAAGTTATCTGATAAAATAATTGGAGGTTCTGAAAGCTCAAACAAACAGTAAGTCAATCATTCTCCTACATAGTACAATATGACTATTGTAGAGTAAATTGAGGCAGCCGATGGTATCTTGCTGAGAACTGACAAACTCAAATCTGAAAGTATCAGGCTAGGCCTCGGAAGCATACAGTTCAACAGTTACCATGACCCTGGTTCTCCTGGCAACTACATTCCAAAGGGGCCTCTCTCTCTCTGATAAGGCCTGGCTGGTACCAGCCAGGCTGCATGGTTTTCTCACTGTTTCTCATAATTTCAGATTAATAAGCTTGGATTCCAAAGATCGCGCCAAGGCAATACCACCCCCACAGGAGACGCATTATATTTCCGGCCAACAAAATGACCATCAACATGCCTTTGTTTATGTTGGCTTATTTAGCTTGTTAGGCGTAATTACCTGTATTAGCGATAACATGTTTAATTGGCAATGGGCAGAGATACTGTGTAACTTTTGTAGTCATTGTCTTATGTGCATATCTCATGTCCACTGCTAGACCTATCAAATCACTTCTCCTCCGTCCTTCTGCTACCTATATAATCTAATGTATGTTTTGGTTAAGTTAGTGCTCACCAGGTTAACCCCTGATGAGTACTCCACCAGCTGTGTGAACCAATAAATCCTCTGCTTGTTTTCACCTGCACCCAGTGTGTCCGGAATCATTCCCTACAACTATGCTATATAGCATTAGAATAATATAGGGAAAAAGAATTATATTTATACTTAGCACTCATGTAGTGCTTCATGTCTTCAAAAGCTGGCCAGACAAAAAGCAGAATTCCCCACAATTGCTACCTTTTCCAAAACATAGAGGTCCATCACAAAAGAAGCTACAGAAAGCCATTCACAAATTAGGCTTAATGATACACCTGCACCCAACCCATCATCTGGCAATATTAGTCATGCATATGTTCCTTCAAAGCAGATAATTTGTGCTCCCTGCTAGAATAACACTGTTGCCAGCCAGAATACACGAGTAGCAGTTCATGAGTGTATACTTTCTGTGGACATTTATGTGAGGATGATGAATTTGGATCAAAAACATTTAGACACACAGCTCAGTAAATCTGCTTTGTCTGAGGTTAGACTCAAACTCATAATGAGTCAAAGCAAAATGATAAATTAACAAAGCCAGTATCGCTCACTTCTTCATCATTTTCTTCTTGCTCCTCTTCTAATTCTACATCAGCTTCCCCTTCTGCCTGCAAATCTTCTGCTTCTTCATCTAGGTCTTCTGCAGATATTTCCCAGCCACAATATTTAAAAGGTTCTGAAAAAGCGACCATTTTTGCATTTCAATTATTCTAAAAGAGTATTCAGGTAATACTCACATTTTAATTTCTGTTCACTTTTGAAAGTATACCAAATATGCAAGGTCAAAACCAAATCGTGTCAGGTATGTTTTTCCATATTTTTTAATCTTGAAGGGAACATTACATATCTTCTACTCAGAGTACATATTGGGTTTTTTTACAAAATTAATGTCCCCTTGTTTGTAATATAAATAAAGATACACAATTTGGGGACATTTCTCAGAACAAGGATCAGTCAAATGGACTTGGTAATGCAAACGAAGAGCTCATTAGCATTTTCTCACGCTTCATTTGCATAATCTCTTCCAATCCGTTTTGCACAAGAGGTTTTTGTGCAAAAATAAGCAGTGTGGACGTGACCATTTTGCGCAAAAACCTTGTGTGCAAAATGGATTGGAAGAGATTATGCAAATGAAGCATGAGAAAATGTCAATGAGCACTTCATGTGCATTGCCTCTTTCACAAAAAAATCTAGTGTAGACATAGCTTCAGTGTAAAGAACCTCGGATGGACAAGGGTCCCCCTGCCAAAGCTCTGTGAAGTTAACTGGGGAGGACAGGACTCTTAATCAGCAGGGTGCATGTCCTCCAGGCATGAGCTGTAAGTCTGGTTCAACCTGTTCTAATGATAGAACTAGAACAGACTCCATAAGGAGTCTTTTTTATTATTCTAAATTTACTCTGGTGGATTCTGGAATTTCTTGTGGCTGGACTGTGCTTTGGGCCAAGAGCTGAAATCACTAAATTTGGCCCAGAGCCAAATCCTCCACAAGTCAGGAGAAGATGTGATGAGTGGGCAGCAGCATGATGAGCAGTCAGCAGAAAAACAGCAGCAAGGCATAATGAGTAGCCAGCAGGCCAGTGACAGAGAGGTGCAATGAGTGGCCAGCAGAGCAGCAGCAACAAGGTGAGATGAATGGGCAGGCAGCAGACAGAGTGAGCAGGTGGAGGTGAGTGACCAGTGGAGTAAGATGCCTCCTTATCTCCCTCACTCACTCAGGATGGAAGGTGAACTCAGCAGATGTACCTCTGAACTCTGGGTCTGTCACTGCGCAGCAACTGTGAATGGGCTGCAGAGAAGGGTTGGGCATGTGAATGGGACATTTACATTGCTGGACTTAAGAACCTGAGAGGAAAAGGACATTGTCCAACCCTACTTGGGGTGGGACTGATACTCATGTTTTTAGTTATGAACTCTACTGTTTTCCCAAATTAATGCCATGTTATTTCCCTCCCCTTTCATTAAAGGTTTCTTTTCTACACTCAGACATTGTGCTTGTGAGTGGGGAAGCATTACCTTTCAGAGGCACTCAGGGATGTTGTGTGAATTTCCCAGATTATTGGGGGGAGGGTTAGGGTTGGATGGATGGAGAGGAACTTCTAGATATTGAACCTGAACCTGGGTGCTGTTGGCACTACCTGGCAGAAGTGTTACACTGACAAATAAACAACACAAAAAGGATGGGAAAGGAATGTAAAAGAAAAATATTTAAGGAATTGTTATGTACATATTTTCATGATTTCATATATAAAACTGACTTCTTCTCATATGTCTTGGCGCTTAACCTGCCTGCTATTCAGAACTAAGCAAAACAACAGCCTCCCCCACCCCCGTTGTCACACTACAACTTCCTCTCTACACAGGTCAAATGTGGAATTTATGAACAGCGTTACTTACTTTCCATAACCGGAACAGTTTGATTAAGCAGTGTTTCTGGAGTTTGCCCATCAATCTCTAGAACAGCAATCTGAATTAAAGATGATTCACTGATTCCTGACTCCAGTACTTGCCAGTTGTGCATGAATAGTTTAATCTTCTCTTTAAGTGGCTCTATTTCTGGCACATCTGGGAAACCATCTTCTGGAAACTCAGGTAACATGATTACTGAACAAATCAAGTATAAAGATTTCAAATTTTAAAAGTTCATACTTTATAAAATAATTTTAACTTCCCTTTAAACTATGTGGCAGTTTTGACACATGTTGTGTCTTCATATGATTAACTTTTCTAAGCACAAATATCTTTTATTGTTTAGAAGTACATTTTGCAATGCCATATTCATTACATTGGGTTACTGTATACTGATACTTTTAAAAACAGACAAGGAGATAGAAAGAGATCAAATTAATAAAGTTTGCATGTGGTTATTTAATTACATAGCATACAAACTTGGGATAATGACATTTTCCATTACATTTTTTTTTATTTCCACAAAACAAAACAAAACAAAAAAAAATGTATATGTAATAGCCCGATGCATTCATCTACAAGCAATTTTTGGCAGACCAAGGAAATAGTCATGCATCAAATAGAATATACCAGTGTTGGAAGGAAGAAAGAGTTACTCGCCTGTGCAATAACATCTGTTCTTCAAGATGTGTGTCCCCATGGGTGCCCCACTACAGATGTCAGGCTTATCCTGGCACCACAGCTCAGAGAGTTTTCCTTAGCAGTAGCTCCCGCCAGACCGCACATGTGCAGATGCCACCTTGCGCTGTTCACAGCCTTTCTGTGAAGTGTGGTTTGGCCTGCCAGTTCCTCCTAGCTGGAACCATCTGAAAAACAAAGATAACAGTTCCAAAGCAGGGAGGAGGGCAGGTCGTGGAGCACCCATGGGGATATACATCTCGAAGAACAGATGTTACTGCACAGGTGAGTAACTCTTTCTTCTTCATCAAGTAGTGTCCCCGTGGGTGCTCCACTACAGGTGAATACGAAGCAGTCGTCCGATGTAAATGATGTGCTTCAGAATCAAGGTCTCTGCACCATGGATAGGACCGCTTGGGCCACCGCAGCATCAGTTATTAGCATGCTTGCGAGGGCGTAATGCCTGGTAAAGGTCAAGGTGGAGGACCAGGTAGCTGCACGGCATATGTCTCGCAGTGGTACACCTTTCAGGAAAGCCGTGGAGGTTACAATCCCTCTAGTAGAATGTGCCCTCGGTCTATGAGGTAACGCTTTATTACACAAGGAATAACAGTGAGTGATGCAGGATATGATAAGGGTGGAAATGCGCTGTGCAGAAAGTTGCTGGCCCTTAGAACGGTCTGCCACGGGTAATAGAAGATGCTGCGACTTTTGAAAGGGGCATGTTCTTTCCAGATAAAAAGCAACTGCTCTTCTGACGTCTAGCGTATGTAAGCACATCTCCTCCACGTTGGAGTACGGTTTCGGGTAAAAGGTAGGTAAGGTTATAGGTTCATTTTTGTGAAATGTAGAGTTGACCTTTTGCAGAAAGGCAGGGTGAATGCACAGTGTTGCCCCCCGCTCGATGAATAATGTATATGGGGGATCAGCAGTGTGCTTCCAGTTCACTCACGCGCCATGTGGAGGTGATGGCAAGCAAGAATGTCACTTTCATCATGAGTGTATGCAGATCACATGTCACAAGTGGTTTGAAGGGAGGATGAGTCAGCATGTCCAGGACTAGACAGGTCCCACTGTTCCGGGGGAGGTTTGTGAAAGGGATACAGGTTTGCGATACCCTTTAGGAATCTTTTGGTCAGTGGGTTGAAGATTGACCAACCATTGATGGGTGGACGAAAGGCAGAAATTGCTGCCAGATGGACCGTAAGTGAGGAGATTGCTAGTCCTCTGGTCTTCAATTGTAGAATATAGTCCAGTATCTGCTGTACCAATATCGCTAGAGGATCGACAGCCCTTACTTCACACCAGGACCGAAATCAATGCCATTTGTGAAGGTAGGTCTTTTGGGTGGTCTGGCGTCTATTATGTATGAGGACGTCTTTCACTGCCTGAGAGCAAGTCATTTCTGGGCCCTGGAGACAGCTAAGAGCCAAGCCGTGAGGTGCAAATGGTCGATGTGAGAGTGAAGGAGCGACCCGTGCTGTTGTGACAGTAAATTGTGTAACTGTAGATGTCGTCATGGTTGTGACACTGACATCTGTGTTAGCTGAGATAGCCAGATCTGTCTGGGCCAGAACAGTGCTATCATTATCACTGTCATCCCATCTGTAACTATTTTCTCCAGCATCCGTGGAATGAGTGGTATGGGGGGAAAGGTGTTGAGTAAGTCGTGAGGTCCCCAGTCGATAAGGAAGGCATCCCCCAGGGAAGCTGTGTCTATGCCTGCTCTCGAACAATAGCGGCGGCACTTCTTGTTGACTCAAGTGGCAAAAAGGTCTATGGTGGGATACCCCCAATGCTCGAAGGGGTTGAGGACTACTTCATCAAGCAATTCCCACTCGTGCTACAGGGGAAAGGCCCTGCTGAGGGCATCGGCAATAGTATTGTTCCTGCCAGAGAGGTAAGCAGCAGTGAGTGTGATTCCATGCCGGACAGCCCAATTCCATAAGTGGATGGATTCAGTGCAGAGGGATTGGGATCTGGCACCGCTCTGCTGATTGATGTAGTAGACAATGCGAATGTTGTTGGTGAGAATTCGTACTGTGATGCTTCATATTACATGCAGGAAGGTGATGCCTCGTATTATGTGCAGGAAGTGTTTGCAGGCATTGAACACAGCTTGCAACTCCAGAAAGTTTATGTGCTATAGGGACTCCTGATGCGTCCAAAGCTCCTGAAAATGATAGTGACGCATATAAGCTCCCCAACCGATTAGGGATGCATCTGTTCAGGCTGAGTCACCACAGTAGGAATCTTTCACGTGTTTCGGGACAACCACAGAATTGCGTATGTTCTGGTTGCCCGGTGTGTATATGGTGAGTACCCAATGTTGAAGGCACCTCAGATGGAGTCTTGCGTGGGGCACCACATAAGTGGTGGCCGCCAATGTCACCCAGCAGTTTCAGGCAGATAAGTATGGGCATTTCGGGAGTAGCAAGTAAAGTGTTCCCGAGGTCTTGGATGGTATGGAACCTATCCAGGGGCAGATACACTGTAGTGGCTATGGAATCCAGCCTTGCCCTGATGAACTCAAGAGACTAGGAAGGCATCAGAGAAGACTTCAGGAGACTGATAATGAGCCCTAGGGCTTCGAACATGACCCTGGCTGTGTCGACCGCTGCCATAGCTTCGTCTGCAGAAGGGGCCTTCAGCAGGCAGTCTTCCAAATAAGGAAAAATGGTGACACAGAGGCATCGGAGGCAGATGGCTACGACTGCTAGGGTTTTGGAAAATACTCTTGGTGCTGCCGAGAGGCTGAACGGTAGCACTCTGTACTGGTAATGCTCTTCGCCCAATGTGAAATGGAGGAACCTCCTGTGAGCCGGGTGCATGGTTATGTAGAAATAAGCATGCTGCAGATCGAGGGACGCGAACCAATCCCCTTCGTTCAGAGCTGGAATGATAGAGGCTAATGTGACCATCTTGAATTTTTTTTCGAAGGGAGCAGTTGAGTCTGCAGAGATCCAGGATAGGCCTCCACCCACCAGAATTCTTTTGGGTGAGGAAATGCCGGGAATAGAAGCCTTTCCCGCTGAACTGCTTCAGCACCGTCTCCAATGCCCCAATGGTAAGTAGACGTGAGACCTCTTGGTGCAAAAGAGATTCATGAGAGGGGTCCCTGAAGAGGGACAGGGTTGGGGGGGAGGGAGAGGGCCAGGTAGCGAATGGGATGGTGAAACCGGATGTGATGATTGCTCTGACCCAATGGTCTGTGGTTACCGCGAACCAGCGGAGGTGGTACGGTCTCAGCCGGTGATGGAATAAAGTAGTTGTGTGGTGTGGAGCCTCTGTAAGGGGAATAGCACGCAGTTTCTCGATTGACATGTCAAACCTGCTGCTGAGGGTGCTGTTCGTTGGACGCTTTGCCTGGTTGTTGGCGGTGCCTCTGTTTACAGTCTCTCCCTCGGCAGATCATATGGCCTGAAGCAGGGCATGGCATATGAGAAAGGTCTCTGCTTATTGTATGGACAAAATCTCTTGTGCCTGTATGGTGGTGTACACATTCCAAGCATCCTCAGTGTTGTACGTGAGTCTTTGCCGGAATGGAAGACCTGATTGGTGTTCTGAGTGAACAGCAATTGACGGTCAAAAGGTAGGTCCTCTACTTGTGGTTGGAGGTCCTTCAGTACGGATGCCAGGTGGAGCCAGGAAACACGCTGCATGACCATCGATGTCGTTGTGGTTCAAGAGGCAGTGTTGGCAATATCTAGGGCAATTTGCAGTGCTGTACAGGCTGCTGTGTAGGCCTCCTGCACTACTGCCTTCAAAATTTGCCCTTTAGTCTCAGGTAGAAATTCCAGGAGAGCAACCAGTTTAGTATAATTATCAAAATCGTGATTGGCGAGGAGAGCCATGTAGTTCGCCATCCTGAGGATTGCCGTGGCAGAGGAATAGACTTTTCTGCCCAACAAATCCAAGCGCTTCACCTCCTTATCAGTTGTCGCTGTCCTGCTCTGTGCCATCTTTGATCTTTGTTGAGCGGCATCCATAACGATGGAGTTGGGCTGGGGATACGTGAATAAGAATTCAGTATCCTTAGAAGCTACGACATATTTCTTATCAGCACATCTGTTCATCGGTGGTGCAGAGGCTGGAGTTTGCCAGATGTCATTGGCAATTTCCAAGATGCCACCGTTGAAGGGGAGTGCTAGCTTGGATTTCTGGGATGGTTGTAGATTTTTTAACAGCTGGTACTGTTTCTGTGGCATGGCAATGGTGTGAAGTTCCTGTGATTGGGCTAGCCTTTTGAACAGCTCTTGGAACTGTTTGTAATCATCTGCAGGGGAGGAGTCACCCTGAAATACTGCATTGCCGGTGAAGAGGACGACTGATCAGTGGAGGAGTCCATATGCTGTTGCTCGCTGTGAGAAGGTAGATTATCATCCCTTTCCTGCTGGCTCAAAGTAAAGGGTGCGTCACCCATGAGTGTCAAAAGAGTCTGTACAGGAGGTAGGATGTCATGGGTTGGGCTGTGTGGAGACTAGGATTGCCTGGGTCTCAGTGATCTAGATTCAGAATATATCGCACTAAGCGAGCGTGGACGTTTACAATAGTAGTAAGTGTATTGTCAGCTGTGATGGTGATATGTTTGAGGGGAGTGCCTTGGAGAATAAGAACTTGCACTCCTGTAGTGGTGAGAAGTTTGTGACATTGGTGACCTCGGTGATCTTGACTGCACTGTGTAATATGAAGGTGAACGAGAGCGGTGGGATCGGTAGTAATGATGAGATGAGCGTGATCGACATGGGGATCTCTGATAATGTCGTGGAGGTGAAACATAGTGTTCATGTCTGTGACTTCCTGAGTGGTAGGAAGGTGGAGGAGAAGGCTCAGGAGAAAAAACAGCCACCTCAGGAGTCGGTGTTGGTAAGCATACGTGCCTAGACTTGCGCTGCACCATAGTAGGCATTGTAGAGGCATGTACAGGAGGTGGAGCCAAACCCGTAGGGCTAGTCGGAGCTTAGGCGAGGGATCTTGATTCCGACTTCTCCCGGTGCTGAGGTGGCGTTAGTGGTGCCGGTGCGGGTGATGTTGCCACCGCCAAAGATGCTGGGATTGGTGTTGAGCACGTCGGTGCCAGGCACAAATGATGTGGTGCCAGTGGTGCTGCGCACTTTGGCACTGAGACTGTTGCTGCCGAGGGGGTTGCTCTTGGGGCAGATTGAGGCTCTCTTAGTGCCGTCACTGATGCCGATTCGGGTCATGGTGCTGCGCACGCCATCAGTGTTGGGTCAGATGGAATCGCGGGGCTAGGCATGGATGGCCTTTGGGTGTCTTAGCTGTGGCATGCTTAGGCGGCAATCCCGACGTGCTGGGTGCAACTCCCTCACTGACGCTCCTGGCAGGGACAGGGGTCCTCTTGTTGTGGGACTTACGTGCCACAGGAGCCTCGTCCGTTGAGTGCTCTGTGGTGGGCGGCTGCAATGCCTTGTTGAAGAGCAGCATCTTTAGCCGCATCTACTTGTCCCACCTCGCGTGGGTGGTTAATTTAGAGCAGTGCGTGAACTTTTGGGGGATATGACCCTCCCCAAGGCACTTAATGCAGTGGGAGTGACTATCTGATGCTGGCATGGTGTCCCGGCATGACTCGCACTTTTTAAACCCGGGGGAACTGGGCATGATGGCACCACTACCAAGCGTAAGTCCTTGTTCCTCTCTCTTTCTCCTTTTTTTTAGTTTTTGTTGAAAAGCAGCGAACTGTGCATAATTATATACAGAAGAAAACTTTTTTTTAACAAACTGGAACTAGAACTATTGAGAAGGGGCTAAACTGCAACGAACCCTCCCCCCCCCCCGAACTTTCTACTTAAAATTTTTCTGTCTCTCTTTCTCCTCAGAACGGAGGAGGAGCTCGTCCGGAATCTGTCTGCAGCTGTGGATGGTTAGGAGGAACTGGCAGGTGAGGAGGAACTCATCCAGATTCCATCTGCAGCCATGGATGGTTAGGAGGAACTGGCAGGCTGGACAGCGCTCCACAAAAAGGGTGCGAATGGCACAAGGCAGCATCTGCACATGCGTGGTCCGGTGGGGGCTACTGCTATGGAAAACTCTCCGAGCTGCGGTGCCGGGATGAGCCCGACACCTGCAGTGGAGCACCCATGGGGATACTACTCGACAAAGAACATATAATACAAAAAGGCTGGACTATATTTGATTGAAAGAGAAAACAGGAAAGATTTCATGTCTAACCTGGTTCAGGTTTAGTTTCCATCACCCCATTGGTATGGTCAGGTTGTACCTGAGGTACTACTTCTGTTTCAAGTGGAGGTTGGTCTCCTGATTCTATAAGTGCAAATACAATTAATTCAAGTACAACTACTACTACTAACTTGCAATTGTCCCACACCTTCCAAGTCAGGATCTTAAAATGTTTTACAGATATTAATAAATCAAGCTTCTTAACACTCCTGTGAATAGAGGGGCCGAGGAAATGGATGGCATCTTGAAATACAACATAAAGATATTTCAAACCTTCATGATTAGAAGTCCAGAGTTGCAGAGAAAACAGTGAAATAAAGAAGCACCATAAGATAGGTACCAAGGCAGAGCCAGATTATCCATTAGGCACAGTAGGCACAGTGCCTAGGGCCTACAAAAAAATTAGAGCCTACGAAAAATTTAGGGCTTAAAAAACAATTAACAATTGACTCAAAAATAAGATAGGAAAACTGCTAAATCATACTTAATAATTTGCTCATTTTTATGGGAATACATGTGTAATGTTGAAGATTAATTAAATGCAAGTGTATTAAATCTTTAGTCAACAAACAACATATAGATATAATATACAATTAAATATTTACTTTATGACTCTTTTTATTAGCAAAATCTCAGATTACATCATCAAATGTTATTTTTTGTAAAAGCTCACGCTCAATTGAAAGTAGTACAAGGGGAGATAGTCACCTCTGTCCCCTGGTAGACCAAAGACTGTTCTTCATATGTTTTAACTTTGAAAAAGAGTGCTCCCCTTCACAGTTTGTTCCCAAGATGGCAAGATACCTTCTGAAAACAATGCTGACATTTGGAAAACTTGTCATCAACTTGTCTGCTAGTTGTGCACTGATCATTGCTGCCACAGATTTCTTCTCTGCGCACATATGTGAGAACAATAGAAAGTCATCTGTAAATACATGTTTGAGATATGATGGATAGATATTTACTAATGCCCTTGCCCTAGAGGCGACTTCAGCACTGGACATTGATCTATCCACAAGAAAACTGAACCTTTCATTCAATGTGGCATAAGTTGCTCATTGTCTGACTATTTCAACAATAAGTTTATCCATGATAGGATAGAAGTGGTATGCATGAAATTTGTCCCTGGCACTCAAATCTGAGACAGTATTATCTATATAAACACAATAACAAATTGCTTTCTCAGTTGTTTGCGTTGTATGGTCTCATTGTAGTCAGATGGTGTGAGATCTTTTGCAGTTACCTCCAACACATGAAATTTATTGCGGGTATCATGAAAGTGTGCTAAAAAAATAACATAAATTGATGACAGTGCACAACTCAATTCCAGACTACTGTAGAGCTTTATTCACAAGCTTAGTCTTTTGTAGTATGTCATTCCAAAGAACATACATCAAAGTTGTCTCAAAATGATCCAGCTTCTTAGTCAGTGCCTCATGGACAACTTCTGGTGGCTGTTGATCACTTTCAGCTATGTCTATTAAAATCTGATGAATTTCAGACTAGTTCATATAAAGTGCTTTGGTGGCATCATTCCATACTGGCCATCTTTTTTCTGATATACTTTGTACAACACAGGTATTTTGCTTCACGTTATTTACTAATTTAGATCATCTCTCTGGGGTGAAGCTGAAAAGAATGTAAAGAGAGACTGAAAAATCCCCAAAAACCTGACTGCTGCAGGACAACACTCAACAGCAGCTGATCCAACCAAATTCAGACTGTGAGAAGCACATGGAACCCATTCAGCCAAACAGTTAACTTCACAAAACCTAGCTTGAACCTCTGAATAAATGCCACTTATATTGCTGGTATCATCATACGACTGTGACCTTCAGCTTGCAATATCAACGCCGTGAAATTTGAGAATATCCTGAAAAAGATTGAATAAGTATTTTCCATTATGCTGTTCAACGGACATGAACTGAGGAAAATGCTCGACCACATTTCCATCACTGAGTACATAATAAAACACCAATATAAGCTGATTAGTGTGACTAATACCAGGGGATGAATCAATAGTGATTCCATAACACTTTGCCTTCTTGATTTCAGATATTATCTGCACCATAACTTTGGATCCCATTATATCTATAAATTCATCGCATTAGTTGAGAAAGGTAAGACACATTCCCTGGATCTTCCTGGATTGCCATGTCATTGCAAGTGTTCTGAGAGAAATGGATCAAATTCAGCTAGAAGGTCATTGCATCCAAGGTAGTCTCCATTGTTAGAGCAGCTGTGCACTTCAGTGTCCTCGCGAAAGACTAGTCCTCATTCAGCAAGAAATCTTATAAAGTCCTCTTTAGGACTTCAGTCCTGTATTTATATGATCTTTCCTTTGTCTTCTCCAGTTCTGCGTCAATTCTGGTAGACTTTTGATGCTGGAGCATCACTGACAGTGTGCCCAGATGATCCTTCCACGGCTCATGAGAAGTAATTCCAGTGACTGCATTTTCCATTCATCAAAACCTGTTATAAATTGATTAGCGTAGCCACTGACAAGAAAAGTTTGCATATGTAGCAATACACTTTACAAGTTGAGGAAGAATAAATAAGCCATTATCTTTGGACAGTTTCCCCATTTGCCAGTCACCAGAAAAAATATTATTTGTGTGCATATTTTTCTTTTTACCAAATTCTCTACCTTGCAATGAGAAATCAGAATCCAAATTCTGAGTAGGTGTATATTCTGCAAAATATGTTATGAAATATGGAATGATTTCCCACTCAGTTGAATCACAACTATATTTTAATGTGATAAAATCTGATATTTTCTTTGGTGTCTTTGTTTCTGTTTTCATCACATCTCCTGCCAGTGTTGTCATGGCCACTTCTGAAGCACTCTGACTGACCCTTGCTCATTCCTCACTTGATCTTGAAGGTTTAACACTTTCAGTGACATCTGCTTCAACATGTTCTGCAGCTTTGTTTTCCAAGTGTGATGTTGATGGCTCAATGGGAAAGCTTGCACTTTTACTCTTCTTATCTTATCTTATCTTATCTTATCTTATCTTATCTTATGAAATTCAGCAGAGAATCCCTCATCTTTTTTAACCAAGGCACTGAAGCACAGCATCAAAGAACCAAAAGCTGAAGCAAGGCGCTAAGAAAAAATCCTAAAGTATCTAACCCACTAATTCTCAAAAAGATTGTGTGATATCTTTTGAGAACTGTTATTGCTTATGACTTACAGTTGATTTTTGAAAGTAGCCTTTGATTGGAATGCCTCAGTTTTGGGTGCCCAAAAATCTAGGGCCTGATTTTCAGGTATGGTGTGCATCCCCACTCCTGTTAAAATAAATGGGAGCTCTTGGTGCTCAACACCTTTGAAATAACATTCTATTTGTCCAGAAAATTGGAACCTAATTGACATAAACAAGGTCATAAATTAAGTCTGTGGCAAAGCTGGAATACAAAATGCATCTCTTCTCAATTCCAAGTCCCAATCATGTGCTTCAATCACTAAACCATACTTCCTCTAACAGAAAGGAACTAATCTTTCCAATTTTTCATTACCATAAATGTATTGGAATCCTATTGAAATTATTAGTAATTATTATTATTATCAGGGCTCGACAATCTATGTAATCTACTTGCCTGTGGCGCGAGTAGATTACATCCCGGAAGAGCTGGGCTCGGGCGATCTGCACATGCGCAGAATGATCTGTGCACGCGCAGAATGCCGGAAAGCACGGCTGGCGAGCAGGGCTCGCCGCGGCTCGTCGAGCCCTGATTATTATTATTTATGAAAGGTATTACCACAACACTAATTTAACCTACAAATTCCCCCAAGATTTAATCACAGGTATTTTTAGTATAAGGCTGTGAATTTTTGTTTACTGCCTGTGACCTATCCCTAACTCCTAAAAAAAAAAATCTGACTAAATCATAGCTTATAACAAATTTCCTACTCCAAAGAGTAACAGAACATTTATAAGCATTTGATTAAGATGTATATAGGCTAAACCTGGGGTGCTTTGTATAATATGGATTGGTCAGGTCAATATTAACAACTAGCCAATTAGCCCGCCATAGAATGGGATTTTCAGGTCTCTCCTACACGTCGGTCTTCTCTCCTGAGCCTCCAGGATCTCTCTCTCTCTCTCTCTCTCTTCTCCTCTTACTGACTTCTCCCTCCCCTGCCCCCCCGCTCTCCTCCCTTTCCTCCCTCTCACTCTCTCTTTCTCTTTTCCTCCCCCTCCTGCCTCTCACTCGGGAAACCGCAGAGCCAAACAGTCGCTTGCGCCACTTGCTCCCATGCGGCAGCCCAGTTGAGCGGCACAGAACTCAGCCAAGCGCCCCGGCAGGAGGCTAAGGGTGGTGGAGCGGTGACGTACACGGCCATTCTTATGTTCTTATTGGTTTCAATTACAACACAGAATGCAAAGTATAAAATACTCACTTTACATTTGCACTATAAAACAAAAGAAATAGTATTTTTCAATTCATCTTATACAAATACTGTAGTGCAATCTTTTTATCATGGAAGTTGAACTTAAAATATAGAATTATATACAAATAAATAACTATATTAAAAATAAAATAATGTAAAATTTTACAGCCTATAATTCACTCAGTTCTACTTCTTGGTCAGCCAATCACTCTGACAAACAAGTTTGTTTACACTGTAGGAGAAAATGTTGCCTGTTTCTTGTTTACAATGTCACCTAAACATGAGAACAGGCATTCACATGGCACTATATTAGCCGGCACTGCAAAATACACGTGCCAGATGTGCTAAAGACTCATACGTTATTCCAGAAGACGTGTCCATGCTGATGACTGGTTCTGCTTTATAACCATGCAAGCCAGGGTAGACCAATGCATGCTCATTTTCATAATCTGAGTCAGGTGCCACCAACAGAAGGCTGATTTTCTTTTTTCATGGTTCAGGTTTTGTAGTTTCCAAATTAGAGTGTTGATTTTTTAAGATTTCTCGTCCCTCTCAGATTTTGGAAGGTATTTAGATTCTTAGACCTTGGGATGAATGCTGTGGCTATTTTTAGAAATCTCACATTGGTACCTCCTTTGCATTTTGTCAAGTCTTTTGTGAATGTGTTCTTAAAATGAACAACTAGACCTGCCAAAAGATGGAGGGTAAAGGGAGCAATTACCCTGGTCCTGGCAATTCAAAGGGATCTGGGTGCCTGCCGCTGCTGCTCTTTAAGTGACTGCCAGAGTGCTGTGCCAAAGCAGCAGGTTGCGCTCTTTGGGCAGCGCTTAGGGTTGGCTGCCTTTGGCTCTGCCCCTTCTGGGAGCGCAGAACCGCCCTACCCCACATTGTCCAGTGGCCCGCAGAGGCTGTTGGCTCTGCTGTGAACAATATGTGCTGGGTCATCATCTGAAACTGTTGTAACATGATATGGGGGTGAAACAGAACTGGAGACATAAAATTTTCCCCTAAGAAGTTCAGTAACAGATTTAATTAACACATTTTTTTAAACAAGGAAGAAGGGGAATTTGAATGTTTAGCTTATCTGGCACATAAATACCTTATAATGCTGGCTACAAAGTGCCATGTGAACATTTGGTCTCACTTTCAGGTGATGCAAATAAGAAGCAGCAGCAGTATCTCCCATACATATAAATAAACTTGTTTACCTTAGCAATTGTCTGAACAAGTAGGACTGAATAGGCTTGTAGACGCTAAAATGTTACATTATTTTGTTTTGGAATGCAGTTATGTAACAAAAAAGTTTATAATTATATTGTATTTTTACAATAGAGAGACTAGACTACAGTACTCATATGAGTGAATAGAAAAGTTCTATTTTTGTTTATAATTTTACAGTGCAAATATTTCTAATAAAATAAATATTATAAAGCGAGCACTGTACACTTATTCTGTGTTGCAACCAAAACCAAAATATCCAAAAATACTTCATAAATTTTGATTATATAGTTTAAAAGCTAAAGTAATCTTGATTAATTTTTAATAGTGATTAATTTTTAAGTTAACTGCATGAGTTAACTGCAATTAATCAACTCCTCTAGTTTTTATACAATTCTTTTTACTCATCTCAACTTTATGAGATACTTGCAAAGCAATATAAGACTTGCTCTACTGCTCAAACTAAACTAATTCGAATGTGGCAAAATTAATTTAAAAAATTATCTATAGCATTTGTACTTGCAAAAAGGTATACTGCAGATAACTTAGAAGGCTGAAACATATCACAGCTTAATATTTTTGTTTCTTCATGCTCTGTAGTCCCCTTCTCATTTTTGTTTCAAGACTGTTATAAAGAGATGTTTTTAAATTGATACAAATCACAGTTTCCAGGAAGGGAATTTTGAACTTTACTGAGATGGACAGTATCCCTTTAATTACATTTTAAAAATGTTTCGGTACTACAGGTTGTACATCCAAAAACATCCATGGTCCTGCTGGATCCCGGATGTTCCTGGACCAGAGAGTCTGGGAATTTAAGAGCATGAATGCCAGATGAGCAGGGCATCATGGCCGTCAGCCTGGCTGGGGGCAGCGCAGGTTGGGGCTGGAGCAGCCCTGAAGTTGGAGCCTCGCAGCAGCATGGAGCCTGAGACCCCATGGCAACCCCCAGGTACACCAGCCTGGGGCTGCATAGGGCTGAGGTCAGACACCCAGCCCTGCAGCTACCTCTGGCTGTGCGAGGCCAGAGCTCCAGACCCACAGCTGTTCCCAGGAGCCTGTGCCTTCCAGGGAGCTGGCAGCAGCTGGGTAAGCAGCCCAGCCAGGTTGGGGGTGAGGCAGGATGCGTGCTGGTGATGGGCTATGGGCTTAGAGGCTGGTGGCAGGAGACCTTCCCTGATCTGGCAAATTCTCTTGTTCAGGACCAGTCAGGTACCCAGAGTGCTGGACCAGGGAGGTCCAACCTGTACTTGACCCATGGTCTTCCGTTATTACCTTGCATTCTTGAGGAACAAAACAGGGTGCAAGAAACGAAAATTCATGACCCAACCACATGCATTTTTGCTGCCAGGCTAATCACAATATTATCTAAAATAGTGTACATTACAGCAGAACACATAAAGAAAAAATGGTAAAAGAACATATAGTTCTTTATACTATAACAAGGAAAACACTACATATAATACAAATCTTACCTTTTAGTTTAGGTTCCTCTTTGGAAACACCAGAATCAATGGATTGCATCTGAACAGTTGGTTCTATTTCAAGTGGAAAGTGCTCTTCTATGTCCTCATCTTCTGTGGGCACAAATATAATAAGTTATGATAAGAGGAAGCCACATACCAAATTTGGTAGCCCTAGCTCTTACCCATTAGGGGGAGTTCTTGAACAAATGGACTCACAGATGGACGGATAGAAAAACAGATAGACAGGCACACATTTCTAAAATACGGATGAGATATAATACAATATATTCACTTTAAAAAGTCACAAAATCAAAACACAATATCAACTACACCAAACAAAACAATATTGAAATACAAACTAAAGAGACAATAGAGAAGAAAAACAATGCATTTATGGAATTCTACTACAACATGGTGCTCAGAAGCACGAACTACTAAAACTAAACACAGCTCCTTATCTGAATGCCATTTCTGACAGCTTCCTCTGTCCCCTGTGTCCTAGAAAGAAGCCTTTCTGATCCTTCAAACTGAGGTAATTATCCTACAGGTATATCTTTCTTGGGTATAGGTGTCGCCCACAAAATAAAAAACCAATGCAGAAAAAAGCTATTAGGAAAGGTAGGTGAGGCTGCTCGGAAAAGGACAGAGGAGTATATTTGATTCTACCGTATTTTCCGGCGTATAAGACGACTTTTGATGTTAAAAACATCCCCCAAAAATCGGGGGTCGTCTTATACGCCGGGTATACAGGCGGCGGGGCAGCCCAGGTGCGCTGGGGCTGAGCTGCTGCCGGGGCGTCCTCAGAGGCTTTGCTCCCGGTGTCCCTGGTCTGCTGGAGACAGTCCCCAGCAGACCAGGGACA